AGCAGGGATCTGCACCTCACAAAAGTGAGTTCACCCCTAAAGCTGATCTGGCACCTCAAGTACTGCATCACTTTAGGGGCTTCAGAGCTTTAATTTGAGTTGTGTAGCCAGATTTTATGGACTTTCCTCAGATCTACCAATGGAAAGGGCCCTGTGTTAACACAGGGTGTGACTTTTATCAGATGGAGACCTCAGTATTGACAGGGCAGCAACAGGAGGTATTGGTTAATTGGGGGATCTGAGGTTCCTGTTGGCAATTGCTCACCTTAATGGTCCCTGATGGGCCACAGTCTGCTGGCCACAGGCACGAAGCAGCTGTGAGCATTAAAGGATTTGTCCCCATACAACCATCATCCCCTACTGGCTTAAAGTGGGTTCTTCAATACATCAATATGTACAAGCACACAAATAACATTAAGTCAAAAAGTCAGAGTCCAAGGCTGAAACACGGGAATAAGAAGGAGGGGGAAGAAAACTCCTTTAGAATTTCTTTTCCAGCTATCCTCTCCAAACTTTGGCAAGCAGAATAATTTACAAAGGAAATTTAAACAGGAAAAAATCCCACTTTGTTCTGAGGAGAGGAAAAACCACAAAACAAAACACTTCTGCTTCTCTTTCTAGGTAGACTTTTCCCCAAACAAACAACATGAATTTGCAAACTCTTTTGATCATCCTGAAGCTGCATGTGTAAGAGGTGATGTTTCAGCCAAAAGCATTCACTCACCTTTACTGCTGGCTCCAAAAGTAGATCTGCTTATCCTGCTGCACCTACACAAAAAGCACTTGACTGCAATTTCAAGCAGCTCCTTTATCCTAGAGATGACCCTTAGCTTTTTAAGTTTCTAACCAAAGTTTATGCAGCTCCAAACGCTGAGGATCCATAGATCTAACACTTGAGCCTAACTGCAGCATATTCAGGTCTTACATATGCATTGCATTCTTTCCAGGCTTGAAGACTACTTAACCACATTACTTCTGAGCTCTCAATCCTATTCCTCATCTGTAGTCAATCATACTTAAAAGTCCAGAAGAGGAAAGAAAAAATTGTCCTCATTATTTCCACACCATTTCTGCCACATAAATAAAGCAATTGAGTACTTGCTCCACACTCACAGCCTGCCTTCACCTTTTTCTTCCCCCTTTTATAGGCCTGCGTAAGTGAAGAGGAGCCAGAGGATGGATAACCTTGCACTCCACCAAAGGTGCTGCAGGAAACAGTCCCCTGGGGCCTGGATCTTTGGCAGAGGAAATGCAGGATGGTGAACTCCACTCCATTTTTTTGTTCCTTGTCTCCTTTTCAAACGCAATGAATGTACATCAAAGAACGGCCACACGGTTGGTTTTTAATCCTCCAAGTGCCCTGACGAACCTTTCCTACCACAGTCTGCTGGTACTGGCCCAGCAATGGCACAGGCCTAAAGACCTCTGGCAGAGCACGTTCACCAAGAGCTGCAGTTGAAGTCGGAGCTGCTTCCTTGTGCCAGGGATCCAGAAAGAAGGAAGCACTGCCCAACACCCTGGGACATTTCATACCTTCTGTAGTTAGTGCCCTCCCCTTTTTCTGAACAGAGCCTAAATCCCCTAACACAACTTCGCATCCTCCCTGCCTGTATAAGATGAGGTGGGGGCTCTTTACACTCGAGTTACTTAGGCATTGTCGGGTTCTAAGTTAGAGATGAGAACTTCTCCCTCCTTTGTCCCACCCAGCCAGGAGCCCTTGCTCGCTCTCTATAGACACGGCAGCAGCTTTTGTCCTGGAGCTCAGCGTTCTGTGCCTGACTCCTGTAATGCTGAACAGCTGGAAACTACTGCAGCCATCAGCTCTTCGCTCAGCTTCACCCCGTTCCAACCAGCCCAGCCATTCCTGGAGCAGCTGTAGCTTACTCTGGGTCTGCCCAGCTATGCTGAATTAACCCTGGTGTAGCTGAATCCTGCTGCAGGGGCTGGAAAAGGCCCAGTTCCTCCTCACGGATCAGAGGTGCCTTCATCACCTACAGCCATGCCTATTCCATGGAAACAGCCTGGTGGAAGAGTCTCCTTCGTGACAGGCTTTTTGTGGGGAGGGAAAGGGCTGAAGCGGAAATGCAAGTGTAATTAAGTTGCATTAATGAGCTGCAGCAGTTGATTAAAAAAGAACAACAAAACCAAGTCAGCTTTGTTAGCTGTGGCTCCCAGCATGTTACGTGTCAAAAGTAGAGGAGGAGCAGTTGTCAGCCAGCCCTGGTATTTTTGGGCTGGTACTTCAAGTGCTGTTGTAATTCATTATTGTCTTGCCTAATTTGTTTGGGATTACTTGGCATTTTTTGAGAAATGCTTTTCAGAAGGGTCAAGCTTGAAGCCATGCTAGGGAGAAGTGTGAGGGAAGAATTAAATAAAAAATAAAAACATTAAGTGCTAAATCAAAGACAGGATGATGAAACTTTTTTTTTTTTTTTTTTTTTGTCTCATTCCACAGGGCCCAGGAAGCAAAATCCACTTTTATAAACCCAAACATATAAGCACTGAGAAAGTATTTTTTGCTTCTGTGCAACTTCTATTCCAGATAAACAAACATCCTGAGTTCTGCTCGGGTGCAGCTGCAAGTAAAAATGTTGATTTCTGTAGGGTGTTTTTTCCCTTATTTTAGGCACCAAAATCCACAGCTTCTGACTGAGCAACACAGACAACTAGTTTCATCCTAGTTTAATACCTTAAAGAAAAAAGCTCAACCCTGACAGCCCTGCATGACAAAAGAGTAGTAAGTAAGAGTAATAAGTACCTCCCTTATGAGTGATATTGTGTCACTACAGAGTTAAAAATAGCAGTGAAACACAAGCTACTCTCCATTTTGAGATTATACACAGCAGTGTGCACACACTTGAATTCTTTCTCCACCTCTCCTTTATTCACTTTCTTTACGTATCACACACATTCCCATCTACCAACCTGATGTTCCCTGGAGAAGCAGAAAAACAAAAAGAGACAAAGAATACACATCCTCTATTCAATTAGATTTTCCCAGGAAAGTTTGCATTTGTTTGGGGCTTTGCAAATTAATCTTTCCTTTTCTCATTAAGCACTGACTTCACACATTTTAGGTTTAATATGATTTCTTTTCCTCAGAGAGTATTATCAATCAGATACCAGCAGTCTTTGTCAGCCTTGTTTGGGAGCAATCAAAATTCAGCATGGATGGTGGGAAAAGCACAGTTTCAGCTCTGAATACCTGGAACATTTTACTGGTAATTTCAGGAAGCAATTCCTCTAGATGGTAAGAGGATGGAATTTCTGGAATTGAGGTCTGCATGTTTTTAACACTACACCTCTCCAACTGACCAAGCTCTGATGCCACTTTCACCAATTAAACTGATCAAAACCCTTTACCAAGCACTCTGAAGAGATGAAGCATCAAACTCTGCCCTTAACAGCATTGCCCCTTGACTTTCATACACACTAGTAAAGATGAATTAAATAGAAGTGTGATGACTGAGTCACTTCAGAACTACCACTCAATTGCCTATGTTCATTGTAGCATAAACCACCAATTAACCAGAAGTAAAATAAACACCAAGCCCATCTTCAGGTAAGACAATAACAATGCAGTATCAATGACTGCCATTCATCATAAGGAAAAAAAAAAAAAAAAGTCAGTCTGAGAAGAAACAAAGCTACCAAGGGTCATATTCCACACTTTATCTCCTCCAGGTTTCATTAGCAGAGCCGTTCCTCCTCATGCCCTAAGAACTCCTCCCGTGGTCTGCTTGTGCTAGACCCACTCTGAGTCCCTCAAGGTGACAGTGCCCGTGGCCTGTGAGGGCAGGGGCTGCCAGCCCCTTCCACCCCAGCCCATCCCCAGCATCATCCAGGAGCAGCTGAAGGCGGTGGCTCCCCTTATCTCCAGTTTCGGAGTGCCCTCTGTTGGGGACAGACATCGCTGGAGATGCTTCTCCAAGAACAACGTGGCACCTGGTTCTGAAAGGGACATTTCCCCGCAGGAGATAAACCAGCTCCTCCCTTTCCCTGGGGTGGAAAAGCCATTCACCATTTTCACACTGCTCAGTAGGGTTAGCCCCAGAAATAGTTGGTGCAGTTCCTTGCTTAGGTTCCAGTCACACTCAGGTGAATTTGGAGGAAATAAGTGTTGTAGTACTGAGCTGATGTTTTCCCTTCTCAGATTACCACATCTATTTAAGTTTCTGCTCTATTTATAGAGGCAAAACAAAGCCAATGATACCTTGAATCCAGACAAGACCTCATTTGGCATGGTGGTGACATTCTGTTCCCTGGGAAAGCTGCTGTCTGGCAGGGACACAACCAATTCCTCCAAGAGCTGCAGAGTTTAAACCACTCAAGTTGTAATTTCTGTCATCTTTGCCAATTACTGTGCTAATATTCCCTTCTTCTGAAGTCAGGGATGAAGACAGCTGCCCTCCCATGGGATCCACAGATAACTGACACCTTCAAGTGACTCACAGGCAAGCCCCCAAGCTGTTTAGTAACCAGAGCTGGAACCAGAGAAGCACTTCCAGAACCACAAATATAATAAAAAGAGCCACCTACCAAAACTCTGCGAAGACTTCAGAATTATCTGCGTTTGCACAGTTTCACGTATCAGATCCTTATTCTCCTTCATCTTTATCCCTTCTTTTGCAGTTTCAAAGAATTTTGAGGAGCAAAATTCTTCCCTGTGGGGTGGCGAGGCCCTAGCACAGGGAAGCTGTGGCTGCCCCATCCCTGGAAGTGTCCAAGGTGTCCCTGCCCATGGCAGGGGGTTGGAATGAGATGAGCTTTAAGGTCCCTTCCAACCAAACCATTCTAAGGCTCTATGATCCATGTGCTGGCTGTAAAATTCCAAAGGACACTAATGGATGGCAAGAACATCTGCTTTTCTTAGTTATGCCCATGTAGCACTGAAGGACAGATGTGATTTACAACCTGATGTCACTCCAACATCTTAGGACACCACCACACCCCTCCCCCAGTAGGGAATTGTACTAGAATCAGATACTTAGACCGCCAAGTTAAATAAAGGAAACTTTTTATTCCATTAAAAAGAACAGTTTAATTTTAAAAATGTATTTCCTTTCCCTTCACTTAACAAGGGATAGTGGGGATGAAACTTACTCTCTTGCTACATGATAGAATATTCCATTTTAAATAAGAATCCCCAGTTTAGCCAGCAAAGAGATGTTCTAGTAAGGTGTGTTTCCAGAGCAGTTTTGCACCAGGATAATACCCAACAGCCAGGGAAGAGCTCCATAAGAAACTTTCAGGAGACCACCCAGTGACCCTGAGCACAGAGCTTTCCACCAGGGGAGGTCAGCTGAGAGCAAAGAGCTTGGAGAGTTAGGCCAGACTTTTCCACTTAGTTATGCAAATTTGAGTATTACTGAAATGTTTCATCAATTGTTGAAAATTGAACAAAAAGAAGATAAAAAAAAGACAGCAAAAAGGGGAGAAAAAGGTAGATTCTCCCTCCCCAACAACACGTTGCTGAGTATTCTAGTCCCAATGGAATGCATTTTGTACAAAAAATATTCCAATTTTCAATCAAACTTCCTGAAGGAATCACTAAAAGAATAATCTCTAGACAACTGCTAAGTGAGTGAGAAAGAACCAGAGAAGTCTGATGAAAACAGTCTTCGATTTCAACACAGAGCAAAGATTCACTTGAGAACACAAAAATGCAGAGAAGGAGAATCCCTTGACAATAAAAACCTCATTTTGGAGGACAAAAGAACCCAGCAGAGTTTTCCTGGAGCAGTCCTAAAGCAGAAGCAGATAAAATCAGCAGTTCTTCCTAGAAACACTGTGCATGGGAGCCACATTTAGTGAGTTTTTACACTTATGCCAAGCTACCCTGCAAAAAGAAGATTGCTCCAGCAAACTATTGACTTATTTTCTCCCTCTGCTGAGTTAGGAGTGAGCTGTATGGACTTCTCTTCCCCTTGGGTGCACCATGGCTCAGGACATGAAGGCTCTGACACGGCCCTGGATGCCAGCCCTGCAGATGGGACACAGCCTCAAATTGAGGGCACATTCTTCACAAGCTACCAGGTGGCCACAGGGCACAAACACAACAGACACATCTTTGTCCATGCACACTTTGCACGTCCTCTCCTCTCGCAGGCGCCGGAGCTGTTCTTCTGTGCTCAGCTGAGACTCATCTTTACCAAAAATTATAAAAAAAAGAAAAAAAAAAAAGCCCAAACTGTTAGTGTTTTGTCACAGCTCCAAAGTGCCAGTTGTGACAGCTTAGGAAGTCACAACTTGCCCATTGTTTTGTTCAGAGACTCTGAAGATGGCAGAAATACCTCTCAGACAAGTTTCATTTAAGCAGAAAAACTACAGCTACTGTAGACTGGCTTATCTACACACAATGTTCAGCCTTTTTACACTCACTGGACTGAACAGGGACACAGATCAACAGCATTTACTCTGTTAATTATCCCCATAAACTGGGTTTTTTTGTAACAGCTGCTTCACAGGGGCACTCCAATCCCTGAATAAGGGTTCCTGTGCTCAAGTGCCACTCAAACTAGCACACAGTCCCCTTCAAAATTAAAAAAATGAGTTAGTATAATGACTACTGATACTGTTATTCTAGAACTCCTCCCAATTGTGCTTTAGCTCAATTCCCCACACTGCCAGCCCAGAGCACCTGATTCCTTCTGCCACACAGATCGCATTTCTTGTCTTGATGTTCCAGTCTCTCTCTGAACAGCACCTGTACAACCAGAAAAGAAGATGGTATTCAATGCTACCTCCTTTATCCTTCTCCTGACAGTGCTGTGTGAAAAGAAGAAATACCCTGGGCCTCAGAAGTATTTGGTTAAAAATTTCTTATCTCAGCCTGGCATGGCTGATGTTCTTGTGGTGCTTCAGTAGCTATTTAAGTTCACCTCCTTGCCGAGGTCTGTCTGTCCACATCACATTCTCTCCTCAAATGTGTTTATCTATCCCATCAGCTGATCATTCCAGCTCCTTTGCTACTATTTAATCAAAATTTCAGTTTTGTGGAATTTTTTCCACGTTAGCTACAGAAATGGCAGACCATGCTGTAGAGGCAGGAGCTTTGGAACTGCATCTTCAAGTAAGCTTCACTTGGCAAACAGGTAACACAAAACAGAAGTTAAAGAAAATATATATTACCCAGACAAGAACTACAGCTATTTCTAAACAGGTTATTGATTCCAATTTTTAATAGGCTTGGAGTGATCATCCACCCTAGGAGCTTTGCTTCAGGCAACTGCCTCTGCCTGGGTCAACTGTGAATTTGTGCACAAGGCTGCACATCATGGAGTGCCAGTTACTGCAGGTCTGAGGGCAGCAGGAAACACCAAGGATATCCCCAGCACAGCCCAGTGCAGGCAGATACAGCCACTGACATCCCAGCAACCACAGCTTCTCCAGGTTTCTTTAACTCGGACCCTCATTGCTCAGGCTCCTGAGGAAAGGCAGGCTGGGGGCATTACCCCTCAATTCCAGCCTGGGCAGAGTGAAGGCAGACCCTCAGGACACTCCCAGCAGTGCTCCAGGTACAGTGAGGAAGAGGTTAAACACCCCCTAAGCCCAGCAGCAAGTCAGGCCTACCTCTCCTTCCTCCTGCACTGCTGCTGGCCCCCCAGCCTGACTGCAGCAGGTCTGAAATCAGCTCAGACTCAGACACGTAGAAAGTCCCAGTCAACACAAATTTATTCTCTACCAGGTTTGCCACCCAGGTGGGGTCAAAGCCCATCTGCAGGACATTCTGCACTATGGAACTCTGATCCTCAGAAGGATGAGCCAACAATTTCCAGTCCCTCAGGGGATCTGTAAAGCAGTGAACAGGTACTTTACCAAAAAGGCAGAGCCTTGGGCAAAACGTGTGCCATTCCTTTAAGGTCTTCTACATAACATGGCATTAATATATCCTAGAACACTCTTCAAACTATCCATTTAGCTAGATTAACTTCCACATTTATTTTTTAATTCAAATCATAATTCACAAGGAAGTTAATCAAAGCCAATTTCATAAAAGCCCAGACACGTATTTTGGATGGTTCATTTCACTTTGTCAGTGAAGAGTTTCCTGTGTTCAGCATCACTCCATAATCCTTATCTCTGTTTTCACATCCCAGAACAGAAGCCTCAGAACTGCTTTCATGAGCATCAAGTGGAACATCCCAATTGAAGCCTCTCCTACCTCAACGATTTATCAGTAATGACAGAAGTAGGAAATTCAGCTGGCAGTCTCTTCAAAGGCTCAAGTCTTGTTTAAGCTTATGGGAGCCAAACTTCATCTACTTACATTTCTGGGAGCAACTGATAAACGGGAATAAATCCCAGGAACAACATTTTCATGAACATCTAGACCCTCTACTGTTCTCTGGTTTCTTATCAAGCATGTTTAAAGTGTTGCAGTGAAGGGCTTTACAGACAGACATCAACAGCAAGAACATCAAAAGGTGAGTTAGGTAAGCACTCAAAACTCACATGATTATCCAAACTAGCTACATGACTCTGGCCTTAGACTAAGAGGTCTCAAAATATCAAGTAATTTTGTTTCTTGAGCTAGATACCATTGCCTAAAACCAAAGCAAAACAACTTCCAGAATATCAAAACATCTCACAAGCCCAGTGTCTACAGCAGGCAGAGCAGCTGAAGTGGGCTGGTGGAACTCAGCCTACACCATGCTCACCAGAAGATAAAACACCATTGAATTACAGCACTGACCTTGGGAGGAAGAGGAGTCTTGCTCAGTCTGATCCCAGGAATGTCTCTGAAAATGATACAAAAAGAGAAGCATGTGTGCAAAACTTTCCCATCTACCAAACCTAACCCACTACACACAGTGTTCACAACTCACTGGAGCCAGCAGGGTACTAGAAAATGTCGCCTGAACGCTGTTAACAAATTCTCTCCCCCTTGAGTGCAGCAAAAATTCACACCTATGAGCAGAAAAGTTGAAATACATTAGTACATCTCCCAAGTGAAAGCAGCAGTTTGAAATTTAGAAGCAGAGGGTGTTGTGGGCAATGAGCAAACCTCTATATAACCATTAAAGACAGAGTAATCAGGTGTTTCACCTGCCCACCTCTTGCCCAAAGACTTACAGTAACAGGATCACGATCCCTCCCCTCTTAATTCAGTCTTCACTCTAGCCCAAGATGAGCTCAGTTGTAATATGCTTTAGCAAAGACCACAGGACTGTGATGGGAGAGCAGCTCACAGGAGAGAAACAAGAACTGCTGCAGAAACCCAAGGCTTACAACGTTTGTCTCGCCACGCTCCGAGCGGTTGCACACTGGGCAGCGAGGGAAGGGAGGAGTGAGCGTCCCCCCACGAGCTCTGCGATCCCAGTTACCTGATGGGCCAGCACGGGGACAGGTGGAGGTGACATAGGGCTTGGGGTGTCCCAAAATGGGTTTATTAAGTGGAGAAAATGGAGCCCAAGACCAACTTGGGAGGGCAAACAGAAGGTTTTATACAGAAACTCAGGAGGAGGGGTGTAGGAACAATAACCAGTGAGGGTAGAACTGGGCAGGGGTCTAAGGCAGGACTAACACATCATAAACCTACCTGGAAATAGGGGAGTGGAATAAGACAAAGTAACAAATAGGGCATCGAGTGTAGCTACATGGACAGGGAACACTCTGGAACAAGGGGAGGGGAGTAGAAGGAGTGACAGGGAATGTTCTAGGGAAAGAGGCAGGGAAAGAGGATTGACAACTTGGAGAGGAGGCAGCTAGGGAAGAGCTCGGGAAGATTGACCACTGAGGAGGGGAGGATGGAAATGAACAAACATCAACTTAAGGCAAGCCACCACATTACAATACATTTCTTTTTGTACCTCAGAGTAGGAGTAATGAAAGCTCTTTGATGCCAAATAAAGTTATTTAATTGAACTATTAGATGGTGAACTCCAGGTGAAATTAGAGACTCTCAGGTCTGAACTGTGCCATTCCACCTAAGCTTGAACATTTTATTTTGAGTATACCTTTTAAGGTACGAGGATATAAATATTGCTGTCCTATGAAAGAAAAGTATCAGTGTGAAATGCATGACCTATCTTTTGGGGTATTTGTTAACCAAGACTGACTTACTCTGGGTACCATTTGGCATGTTCCCTCCAAGGATCATCTCCAAAGGACCAGCTCCTCACGCCTCCATCACAGTAAAAACACCTCACTACATCTCCTCGTCCTGAAAGGCAGATCAAGAGATTATTTGACACCTGAGACACAACATGCCCTACACTAACCCTGGGTGAGACTCAGCACAAAACAGACTTTGGACAGGAGAGATGAACACATGACAATTTACTGACACAGTGCACATTGTACAGGGGCAGGAACTCAGTCTGAGCTCCCAGAGCTGGCTGAGAGGATTCCAGAAGGGGATCACAAGCTAACAGGCAGCATCCATGGCAGCAGCTGAGCTGCCATGCATAACCCCCCCAGCCAATCCCCCTGCCTGCCTTTGCAGCAGAGCTGTAATTAATTACACCTGTGAACACCCTGCTCACTAACCACAATCTGCCGCAGTGCAAATATTTCCCCTGGCTGGTCACTTCAGAGAGGACTATTTCTTCAAACCTGTTACCAAACCAGCAAAGCATTCTCAAAGGGAAAGAATAGCATTTTATTGATATTCACATGCATGTGATTACAAGATATATTGGCAATTTTCTGCAACCAAAAAAAAAGTCTGATTTCTATATTTCAAATGAAGAGTCCCCAGAGAAACAAGCCCCAGCAACAGCCAGAGGGGCTGACTCCATCAGCTGTCACTCAGGTTTGGGGTTTTGAGAAGGAAAGGCTTCAGTGCAAGACCCAGCCTTATCCAAAACATGACATACCAAGCAAGCTCCTCAAGTCCTTTTAGAAGTGCAAGGAACAAATACACCAAATGGATCTTTAAGCACACTTTTCTGTCTGTAAAACATCTGTTTAAAACACATCACCTTTCCTCTCCTGCTAGCAAGGAGGTGTTTACTCATGGACCCCTCAGTACCCAAACAGGAGTTAAATGTTGAAACCAATTCTGCACAAGCAGTAAGAGAAACAGCACAGGCAAAAGGAAGGACACGGTTTTTAACCACAATACACATACACACAGGTATTTGTAAGAGCAATAAAACAGCAAAACTTTCAAAAGTTAACTTGAATAAGAGTTAAGGACGTTTCCCCAGAGTACCTACCTGTGTAAAAGAACCCTGCTCTAGCCAGTTGCTCTGGATGCATGCTGGAATTTTGTGGCCAGTTCTCAAACGTAGACAGCCTCATCTCCTCTGTCACCATCTCAGGGTACTCTGGCTCGTTGGGCTGGGCTGTCTCCTCACTGACTATCCCCTGCAAGACACTCAGGAACTGCCCATCCACAGTGTCAAAGATCTCCTGCAGGGACAGCATCTCCTGGTTCCCAACATCCTCACCAGAGAGGTATTTACAGGAAGGGAAGAAATGCAGGTGCTCTATCATGGGGCAATCACCAGGTCTCCAATCCTTCAGGATACCCCCACAGCAGAAACACTGCACTTCATCCCCGGGGCCCAGGTAGAAAAATCCAGCCTCCACCAGGTCGCGGGCAGACACAGGGGCAGTGCGGGGCCACTGCTGGAAAGTTCGGAGTCTCCTGGCCACGCTCCTCATGCTGGCCTCGAAGAGCCGGCGGCGAGCAGCCCTGGGCTCAGGCTGCTGGGCTGGTGCTGCATCCCCCATGGCCGCGCTCTGCAAGAGAGGATGGAGAGCCCAGAGCGCTCAGCTGCACTCCCAGCCCCGGCCAGCGCTCACCCTGCTGGATTATTCCTCATCCCCATGCACATTCCAGAAAGCTCCTGCTCCCAACAAAGCCCAGCTTGTTTCAGAAGCCCAGTCACAGATTTGTGTTTCTGTACTTTGCTGTTGAACTTTTGCTGAGCCTTCACTGGTGTCTGATGGGAAGAGTCCAGTGCTTTCCAAGGCCCTCTGCCAATTTACAGGAAAGATGGAACAGAGAGGGGAGGGCAAAACCTGTGCTGCCTCCCAGGCTGAACCAAGCCAGCCTTTGGCATCTGATCTGCAGATAAATCCCCAGCCATTTTGTACGCCTTTAAACTAGCATGAAAAAGGCTCTGCTTTTTATTCCCTAAACCAGGCATGTCATAACAAAACAGAACAGCCACACCCAAACAAATAACGTCTCCAACAAATTTCTCCCACAAAAGACTTTTTGCAATAAGAGGTGCAGCATAAGAGAACAACTATATTTATCTTTTGCATATTAAGAAGTCCATTACGGTTTGCCTTTATATTCACATACTCTGCAGAAGATTCATTAACTCTGCTATTTGGACTCCCCAAACCAAATTAAAATTTTAAATACCTATAACACCACTAAAAACCAATATTCTACCAAAAGCCATTACTTACATAGGAATACAAAGCCACAACAACATTAGAGCTCATGCCAACAATTAGCACAATAAAAATATCCCTTAAAATAAACCCCAACTTTACCTGAAACATGTTAACTAAACCCCAGAAAGCTTCCATAATTTAAATCTCTCTCAACACACAAACTTCACACAAAAATCTTCTCTCCTCAGATGCCTCCCCAAAAGCACAAATACTCCCAAGGAGTAAGTGAGCCCACCTGCCTCAGAAGCAATTTATAATCCTTAGTAGCCCCCAATTGGTTGGGATGGGCTGAAGTTCTCTATTGGCTAATGAGTCCAAGTTTCATCTTTATAAAATGGAGTCACAAGGCAAAGTTAAGCTCTAATTTTCTCCAGAAAATCTTGTTGAAGCCTAGTCTAGTGCCAGGTGTGACATCCTGACTCCTATGATATAATGGCTGTCGCATCCCCAGTTTGCTGTGACTCTATTAACAGTATTTCTGCATCTTTATCAGCTTGTTTTTCACATGTGTTTTGCACCTTACATTTCTTAAGAAAATGTACTGTAAAATTAGCAGATAAATAGCAACAAGAATTTTCTCCAGACAGCTTGAACAGATTGCATTGCCTTTACTTTGAGAATCAAGTCTTTTTCTCCAATTGCATCTTCGCAACTTGAAATCCTCCTGTTCTTTTGCCTTCCTGTGGTCACAATTCCACAAAATGGAAGATTTTAAGGATAGTTTTGAAAGGTGCAATTACTTGAAAATGTGTTTTCCTTTACCACTGCCTGAGAAGATGCATAAAGCTGCTTCTAAACTCTTGAATTATTAGTTCTCCATGTAAACATAAGAACACAGGTGGTTCATGTTTCTTAGAAATTATAAATGAGCATTTTTCTTTTAATAAAAAGGTCCAGAGTACTTTTTTGTTTTTTTTACAGGCAAGCCCATAAAATCATTCTCATTAAAAAAAGTGTGGGTTTTTTGCTAATTAAACAGTTGTTAATGAAAGCCCCTGAGCAGTAGAGGGCAGTGCTTTTATATGACATTTACAAAATGCTGTAGCAAAAGACTGAAGGTCCTTGGAGAATTTCTTTGTAATAAAATACATATAAAGACAATTGCATGTTATCTTGCACTCTGTGGGTCCTGTCCTTTCTAAGTCTACGCTGATTTTTGAAGAATGCATCCTAAAAATCCAAAGGTCAGAGTTAACAACATCCCTCCTGCAGAGGCTGCTTGGGGTCTGCTGATGGCTTGTAGCAAGTCACCTGTTAATCAATAAGAGTGATTGATAATTCTGATTTTATAAAGCATTTTACAAATAATGACCTCATCTTCTACTGCTTGTAACCACCTGGCTTCTCAAAGTTGTGCACAATTCCACCTGTTTTAGGAGAAGCTCTAGCCTCATTGTTAAAGAGGGAAAAGCTGTATAAATCTCAGAGGAGCCTAAAAACAGCTTCTAAGTTGACAACATTAGTCTGTTTCTGGAAGTGGTTATTTGTTTTGGCTTTTTTTTTTTTCTTGTATACATAACATTCTTCCATCATAAAAACTTCAGGACAGGTTTAAGGTTGATTATCTGTGGGGATACACTCATGTGGTTTTGGGGGGAACATTTCACCAGAGGAAAGCTGAGGAGGACCAGTGAGATGACTGTAGCAGAAGCAGTATAAATGACTCCAAGTGTGGTGATCAGAGCAAGTAAAAACAAGTCACCATGTATAAATGATAGGGGTTTATTTTAGCACATCAAAATTTGGAAAGCAAATAACATATTCAGTAATCTGTTGTATGCAACTTATACTGATCTTTTTTAGCAAGTCATACATTTTCAGTTTCTTTTCAGAGCATTAAGATGCCCTACTGAACTTCTGAATGCTTCTTAAAATGAGGAGTGTCATGAGCTAGTGATAAACAAATGTGGGAATCAGTAAACATCAATCAGGAGTCCAGGACAGATCAGTGATAATGATCAACATTGCCATCACTAGATAGTGATTGGAAACACTCGATGAAGAAAGGAATATAAACATAATTAATCAAAAATCTGCTTGCTATTATCAACCTGATTCAGAAGGAAAACAATCAATAAATACAAGGGGCAGAGTATATCTGGAGGCAGCATAATAAAAAGCTTGAAAGCACTGAAGTGACTGGAGCCCCTGGAAAAACTCCAGCAGAATTCATCTCCACCCTCGAGGTGCTACACAGCTGTAAGAGGCTGAAGCTGTTCTGTGTGGCATAGCTTGGGACTATTGTGCTTTCATCAATAAATTAAGAGTTTACTGAGGAAAGAGGCTTTTATAACAGGAGGAAAAAAAGGTATCAGTTGGCATTGGTGAAGAAATGAAGAGGCTGGAACACAAAAGGAGACAACCATAGCTTGTCACTGCAACTGATGAGTAAAAGGACTGGGTATCGAGCAAATTTATGGCATCATTCCCATTGCCACTTGCTCAGATGTTAGCCACTATTAAGATGTGGATCCATTTTCAGAATAAAGCATTCAGACTCTGTGATGTAACTGCTTTGCAGCCTGAAGCGGAGTAGACAAAACCATTATAGCTGAAGGCCTAGGCACAGATGACTGCTGCTGTTTCTCCATTTAGGGGCTCCCTTCTCCTCTTCTGGCTGCCTCTTCCTGGCATGCTGTCCATGCTGTCCTCCCCCTTCCTTCTCCTGAAGGTCCTGCTGCTCTGGTCCTGGCACCTGCACTGCTGCTCTCTGGGGAGCTCCTGCCACAGGAACACCCGGGAGGAGCCCATCTGCTCAGCTGCCTCCCAGGGCAGCTCTGAGGGACCAAAGCACACTCTGGATGTTGACACACAGCTCCACAGCATCCCTAAAACAAATCCACTGCAGACAGGAAACAGGATCCAACTCAGTGGATAGTGACAAAGCACCCTGAGAAGTGACTGAGGACAAACACAAAGCCATTTCCTCAGGGCAGGGCAAAGCTCAGAAGCCTCACTTTGCTGTTTCATGCAGCTCAAGTTTTTCTTTTCCCATAACAAGTTCTGCCATACATCTACAGTGATCTTCTCTGCCTATCAACAGCTTCCTCGCTGCACTTCCCTCAGGCCCTTTTCAATAACAACAACAACAACAACAAAAACCAACACATTAACAAATATAAATGGTTTATTATTCCACACATTAACAATCATTCATTCAGAAAGCCTGGAAAATGTTGCTATGAAGTAAATCATAGAATCCCAGAATGGTTTGGGCTGGGACCTTTAAGTTCATCTCATTCCACCCCCTGCCATGAGCAGGGACACCTTCCACTATCCCAGGTTGCTCCAAACCCTGTCCAACCTGGCCTTGGACACTTCCAGGGATGGGGCAGCCACAGCTTCTCTGGGTAATCTGTGCCAGGGCCTCAGCACCATTTGAGTAAATAACTTCTTCCTAATATCAAACTTAAACCTCTCCTCTTCTAAAGTCATTCTCCCTTATCCTATCACTGAATGCTCTTGTAAAAAGTACATTTACTATACATAGAGACTGCTGGAACTAACACACAGATGAGTAACAAATACCTGTGTTGTGAAGTGATTTCCTAGGGATTCAAATCTTTTCATCTCCTGCCCTAATTCTTTCCCCTGGCCCCCACTACTATGGCATTTGATTGCCTCAAAACTTTAGGTATTGTAATAGTTAGGAATAGCTAAATGTAACTTGCAACGTGATTCATGAAAGTGCTTCAAATCAAATCCTATTAATATCCCAGCCCACAGAACAGAACACAGTACATATGAAAAGGAAAATCTGCAAAGCACAGCAGATACTCAAAAAATCAGTAGAGGAACAGGCCTTAAAATCTAAAAAACTTCATGGTTTCAGTGTCCAGCCTATTATAAAAAATATTTCTGCTATTGAAGAGTGGGTTGGCCACTGTTCACTTCTTTTTCAAAGGAAAGTGTTTGTAGAAAATAGCTTCTATTTTATTTTTCTAAATGTCTTTTGGAGCTGAAAAATATGAGTTTCTTTTTCAAGGATTACTTTTTCTCTTTATTCAGTTTTCTAGCCCTTCTTGCCCCTGACAGTGGACCAAATAATCATGAGGGGAAAAAAAAAAAAAAAAAAAAGAAAAAAAAAAAAAAAAAAAGAAATGTAGAGTAACCCCAAACCCTATCCATTATTTGTTGCGGGGGTTTTTTTGTTTCCCATAACATTCTGAATAGTTGAAAAAAAATCTGTAAAAATTCACTGCTGCTGCAAATTGAACGAACTATTTTCAGTTTTCAGCAGATCAACAATCCAGTGATCCTAAGAGCATGCAGAGTGCTCAGAGGTCTGAGCAGCAGCACAACGATTGGGAATACAAATTAAAATTTGAGGAGGAAAACTGTAGTGCTAAGTACATTCCCACTGTGAGTATGGAAAATATAAATTATATTCTCTTGCTTTTTTCTTTCCAGGTAGCATCTGGTAGGTTTCTCCAAAGATGAATCGCACCTCTTCCTCTCCCTCTGGCTGACCTTGATCATTTCCCAATTCCTTCTGATTTTGACATGCAGGAGCCTCACATTGGGGCTCTATTCCCTTCACCTGCTTCAAGCCAGGAGGTAGAGAAGCAGAACTGGAGCCTGGTGTAAATTGAGTGGCATTGCAACTCCAAATTATTCATTTATAAATCTTAACAGCTCAGAAGAGATTCTTGCCCACTTGTGGCCACAGTTCCACAGTTCAGCCATTGAATTACCTGTAAAGAAAAATGTATCAGGCATTGTTGTGATTCTAATGGAGCTCATCCTACTTTATAATTGGCAGAAAATCAGCCATCGAGAATCACAGAACATCTGATTTTCCAATTAAATCCTGCTATAGTTTGGACTGTGTTTTTATTGCAGAGAATGTGCCTGGCTGCCTGAATATTGCTTGGGCAACAGGCAGAAAGATCTATTCTTGAGCTATTCACATTACAATTATCTGCTTTTCTCCATGCAAATTGGCTTGGAATGAATTTATTTTGTCCCTGTATCAATAATCAATAGCAAGACTGAAAGATGAGGAAGAAAAACAACAAAGCAACCTGAAGTCACTGCAAAGAGATGAAGGGGAAAAGTGCACAACAAAGAAACCAAAGACAGACTGACCTTACAATTTCATAGAAACCCCACCACAGCAGCAAGAAGGAGTTGCCAAGAGGGAGACAGGGGAGAATCCCTGTGCTCAGTCATTGCTCCACTGAGCTCCTTGCCACAGCTTTCCAAGGAATTTGTCTTGCAGGAACAGCATGTGTGATGCTGATGTCAGATGGGATCTGTTCACAGGCCACACTCTTTGCATATGATTTCCCTCCTCATGTTTTCACAAACAATGTGTCAGTGACATGAGAAACAGGAGAGGAGAACAGATACAATTTCTCTGTGTGTCTGCTTTTATTTTTCACCCTAAAATGATGGAAGTGAATGCTGCTGGATCCTTGGTTTGGGAACATTCCACAGGGGTGTAGGGTGCAGGAGGGAGATGATTCCATTATGGCAATATTTGATTTTCTTCCATGCTCATAACAGAGAGGGCTGCATAAAATTCCTGTAAAACCTGAATTAAAAACTAATAATAAAAACACCAACACAAATATGCTGTAGTTTACACATGAACTCTTCTGAGTGTGTTAGCAAAGGAAGAAAAAGATAAGTACAACTTTTTCTTAAACTAGAAGAACACATTTCATTCAACTAAGAGAGAACCAAACCCCATGTTTCCTCCTGGGTTACTTGTTACTCTCCAAGAGTATCCTAAGTTATATAATATATATAAAAATATGAATATTGCTTTATCCATATCCTTCAACTGAGACTTTTCATCTTACTGGTTTTATCTCTAAAAGACTATGCACTTCTCAATGGATAGACAAGATCATTCTCAGCATAACCAGGAAGAAAAAAAAAATTCCAAGTGCAACAGAAAAAAAAATATTCCCACAAAGACTTAGATGTGTGCATGCATGTAAGTATGTGATATGCTGCCGTTGGGTCTAACCTAACAGGTACAGCCTAAGAGCCCCCCGTGCGTTGGGATGCTGAAGCAGAGAGAGCTCTAACATTCTGCCCACATGCTCTCCTGGCAAGGATGATTCATAGTCACATCGTTTCTATATCGAGATGTGAACATACACAATCACATGGACTTCGGAGCAGTGCCCATCACCCAGGCACCCAGCCTTTCCCTTCTCCTTCTGCGCACATGTTCCTCTCTCCAGCCATGCTGATCACTTTGTTTTGTCCTGTTTCTTGAAGCTCTGCTCTTTGGACAGACTTTCCAGCTCGCTCGGGGAGTGCCCACAGAAGGGATTTTCTGGTTTGCTCCATAATTACACCAAAGGCAAACAGAATTGGAACAGGCCAGCTTGGACAGGGCTTGGAGCAGCCTGGTTGAGTGGGAGCTGTCCCTGCCCACAGCAGGGATTGGAACAAGATGATCTCTGAGGTGTCTACCAATCCAAACCAGTCTGGGAAAATTAGTGTTTTCTAGGAAAATACTAATTATTACTTCCTACCCAAGTCAAACAGAGAAGCCAAAGCATGTCCAAGTGCTGAGGATTAAAGCACCACTCTTTCTTCTTTATCGTTGGGTGTCTGATCAGAGAAAGGACAAAAGTGCACTCTTCATTTCAGATATTTTATTAGAATAGTAAGTACAAACTCAAACCCACAGTTTTCAAACGTGAACACAGAGAAGACTCGGGTTTTAACTGCATCTAAAGGAAAGCATGATTGTGTTCTTCAGTGTATTCCACAAGGACCAGAATTTGCCACTTTTACCCCAAAAATTAAGCATGGAGATATTACAAGACTTTGTAACTAGCAGGACTTAGACATTGACCCCACAGAAATCCACATAAACTGGGCTAAGGGGCCTAAATTCCACCCAGGTTCTGCAAAACCTGGAAGAGGAAAAAAATAATTAATCTGATAAAAACCCGTGTTGAGGGTGGCTGCTGCCAGTGGTCAGACCAGCTGTGAGAAGCAAAGTGGGGCTCCCAAACCTCTTGGGTGAACCAGAACAGGCTCCCCAGGAAAGTGATCAGGGCAGCGAGCCTGATGGAGCTCAAGGAGCTTTGGACAAGGTGGGATTGCTGGGGGCGTCCTGTGCCAGGACAGGAATTGGGCTTTGATCCTCAACAGTCTTAAGCTGCACTTGGGTATCAGGAGGAATTTCTTCACAGAAAGAGTGATGAGACATTGGAATGTGTGGCCCCAGGGAGGTGTGTGGCCGTGGCACTCAGTGCCCTGATGTAGCTGACCAGGGGCACTGGGTATAGGTTGGACTTGATGGTCTCAGAGGCCTTTTGCAACCTAAGTCATTTGGTGATCCTGGGTCCATTCCAGCTCAGGAAGCTCAGTGATTCTGTCTCAGTGATCCTGTGAACCTGCACAGCTGAGCCTGTGGGCAAAGAGTCCTCTCCAAGACTGAGGGAGGAACAGAATCAGAGAATCTTCTGAGTTGGAAGAGACACACAAGGATCGAGTCCAGTCCTGGCCCTGCACAGAACGCCCAAGAATCCTCCATGTGCTGCTGTCCACGCGAATCTTGAGCAATCAGGCTCGGTGCTGTGACCACATCCCTGGGCAGCCCGTTCCAGTGCCCGACCATCCTCTGGGTGAAGAACCCTTTAACCCTTTCCTCCCAAGGAAGTGGTGCACAGCCTGAGCCGTGCCCTCAGCCTGCCGCTCCCAGGCTGGGCAGCCCGAGTGCCCTGTGAGGGCCGTGGGGCAGAGCCATGTCTGCCATGCGCCACCTCCCTCCTTCCATGCATAATATCATACGGCCTGGCTTCACATAGCATGGCTGACCAGAATACAGCATGGCCTAGCTTCGTATCACATGCCCTGGCCCCATAGAGCACGGCCCAGCCTCATATAACATGGCCTACAATAATATCGCATGGCCCAGCCCCATATCGGATGGCCCAGCCCCATATCACATATCCCAGCCCATATCCCATATTCCAGCCCATATCCCATATCCCAGCCCCATATCCCATGTCCCAGCCCCATATCCCATGTCCCAGCCCCATATCCCATGTCCCAGCCCCATATCCCATGTCCCAGCCCCATATCCCATGTCCCAGCCCCATATCCCATGTCCCAGCCCCATATCCCATGTCCCAGCCCCATATCCCATATCCCAGCCCCGTATCCCATGTCCCAGCCCCATACCCCATATCCCAGCCTCATACCCCATGTCCCAGCCCCATACCCCATGTCCCAGCCCCATATCACATATACCAGCCCCATACCCCATATCCCAGCCCCATGTCCCATATCCCAGCCCCATGTCCCACGTGCCAGCCCCATACCTCATATCCCAGCCCCATACCCCATAACCCAGGCCCATATCCCATATCCCAGCCCCATACCTCATATCCCAGCCCCATACCCCATAACCCAGGCCCATATCCCATATCCCAGCCCCATACCTCATATCCCAGCCCCATACCCCATAACCCAGGCCCATATCCCATATCCCAGCCCCATACCTCATATCCCAGCCCCATACCCCATAACCCAGCCCCATATCGCATATCCCAGCCCCATACCCCACATCCCAGCCCCATACCCCACATCCCAGCCCCACGTCCCCCGCCCTCCCCGCGCTCAGCCCGCTCCGCGCTGCCGCGCACGCGCAGAGGCGCCGCCGCCCCGCGCGCCTTTCCCCCCCGCCGCCCGCCCCGTGCGCTCCCGGCGCTCCCCGCGCGCGCTCGCCGCTGACGTCACCGCAGCCCGGCGCCCGCCGCCATTGGAGTCGGCGGCCGCCGCTGCCCCGCTCGCTGCGGCCCCAGGCCCGGCCCGCGGGCATGTGAGACACCGGGCCGGCACCGCCACCGGCACCGGCACGGCTGAGCCGAGCCGCGCCTCCGCCGCCCGCACCGCCGCCCGCTGAGGAGGCGCCCCGAGCAGGCGCCAGGCGGCCCCTTTCCCTCCCCCTCGGCCCCGGCCCCTTCCCCGCCCGGCCGCCGCCTGAGGGGAGCGGAGGCGCCGCCGCCGCCCCTCCGCCAGGCCCCGGAGCTCCGCGCCGCGCCCAGCGGCCCTGCCTCGTCCCCCGGCGCTCTCTGCTGAACCACGGGGCCCTGTGCATGAATTATGTCTGCCACAAGCGTTGACCCTCAGGTGAGCGAGTGGCGAGACGGCCCGGGGGCGGGGGGGGGGGCTCCCGGGCCTGCGGCTGCAGGCCCCGCCAGGCTTTTCTTTTCCCCCTCGGCTGCTTTAGAGCTCCATCGTTCTCCGTAACTTCCCCCGTGGGCTCAGCGCGCTCCCGCCTCCTCCCCGGAGCCATTTCTCAGCAAGGCCGGGGCTGAGGGATACGTGGAACACGCTGCTCCAGCCATGCTCCAAACAAACCTTGAGATGCTGCTGGCCATTTTTATAAGTCTCTTTCTTCCCCGTCCTCGTAAGCTGTGTGGTTTGCAGTGTCTATGACAATATAAGCGTTTTTTCTAAAATTAACTTTTTTATTTCCTTTTTTTTTTTTCCCGTAATCACGTGCTGTGGCTTTCCAGAGACCGAAAGGACAGGATAATAAAGGTGAGGAATCGTGCTGTGATCTGGTCGCTTAAATTGTTACTGTAAGAGATCAATTACACAGGTACCTGTAGGTGAGCAGAAATGTATCGCTGTTACTCTGCATGGAAAACATCTGGGAATGGGGGAACGTGTGCTTTGTTTCGAAAATAACATGATTGCCATTCATCCGAGCTTGCCTGCATCCCACTTACTGCTGCTGGGTTTGCAGTGGGAAGGACTGTGTTGGTATTAAATAATTCTCGTTTAAGATGAAGCAAGTTGCTACATATAGTCACAAGAATATCCCTGGACAATATATGTATTTTTGCCTACTTTTGCATGCTCTGTGAGTACAGTTGTGTTGCTGCTCTGCTGTTGGCTGAGATATTTACTTAAGTCCATAAACTTAATAATCTGGGGAACTTGAAAGGTGGTTAATTTCTGATGAGATAATAAGTATTTTTATAACTATTCTGCTTCAATTGAAATTAAACTTAGTAACAAGTCATCTGAGAAATACCTTCATTCTTATTGTGATTGCTTACAAATATGTAACTGTTAAGACTTAGAAAGTAGTAATATCCAACTCATAAATGCTTTTTCATACATCTTAACCTGCCTTGAGAATCCAGCTCCTTCTAGTTAAACAAACACATCTCCCTGTGTTTGTAAGCACTCTTTTACCTCTACTCCCCTTGACAAACTTTGCAGAAATACTCTGCTAAATTCCCAAACTTGTTTGCTAAGCACTTTATTTGGTGTACTATTATATTTAGTTCAGCTGTTCTGTGAAATAGGTAAATATAGCAACTACCACACTGTGTATTTGACCTTCTTTTTTCAAATTTAAAGCAAACAGGAAATTATTTGAAGGGACTTAGTAGCTGGTTTGGGTTTGTATATCATTCAGTAATGGGTTTCACATGTTTGTCACACAATCTTTTATGCTGAAGTAGGACTTTATGGCAGATATATTTTTTTTTTACAGATGAGAATGTTGAAACTTAAGTTTTCCTGAAAATATCAGGATACCAAATCTCTTAGCAGTCTTCATTTTATAATACAATGTAACCTCACCTCATCTTATTTTAGCCAGTTTAAGCAGAGACTAACACACGCTGGGAGAACTGTGAGTTTGTGTGTTCTAATTATGGGCCAGAACAATAGATGTTGTTTCTCAATCCTTTTTCACAAAATTGTTCTCAATAATGATTTTTTTGTTGGGAGTTAATTCACATGAGTTGTTTACTCACCCTCAGCTGTAGAATTTTTTATTACTAATTTTTTTAATTTACTCAAACTTTGTTCTGTAAACAGTTATATAAAGAGAAACAATCTGGGGGGTGGGAAGTGTCATCCGTTGGTCTTTTTATGAGTCTTTCTGGCTTGCAGAAGAAGTATGGCTTTTCCTAAAGTAGCATAGGGTGGAGCATCACTCCTGCAATGCTGCTGCTGCTATTCTAATGTGCTGTAACCCTTTTTTTGTAGTACAAAATGGTTCGTTACATCAGAAGGACACAGTTCATGACAACGATTTTGAACCTTACCTTTCTGGGCAGTCAAATCAGGTTAGTGCCTTTTTAACTTAGTTTTTTATTTTTTTTTATTCCTTAGGCATGCTGTTGGCACTCCATTCATAGGATTGTGTGGAGGGGGCAAATGCCTTAAATAGAAATGGAAAAAGAAATGACAGCATATTGTGTTACTTGGTGATACAAACAGCATTTGTGTTCCCAAAGCTAATATTACTCTGCATTTCCAGATGGCCACAAGTGAAAATGAAGTTGATGCTCCAAGGAGCTGGAGCTGATTCCTCCTCCCCTTGCAGGTTATTGGTGTGGCTGGACTGGGACAGCCTGATCTTACAGTTCCTTGATAGGCCAGTTGCTTGTGGGAGTTTAAAAATTCTGCTTTTGGGCTCTCCTGATTTCTATTATTTATATAATTATAGAAATTAATGTAGTTGAGATTTGGGTTGGATGCTCTCTAGGTACTTTGTAGAGTTGTCCCATTTTTTACACTTCAGCAAATGTTGTTCTTTCATGTTCTCTGATACATTTTAAGAATTAAAGATGTGTTACTTAAAAGTAAGGAACTGTAATGTAAACTCTCATTATGATGTACATTAAATCAACATCCATGACTAAAATACTATTATAATTGAAAGTATTCTCTGAAGTAATTCTTGACTTCACATTCAAATCTTTAAAGGGAACAAAATTTATAGGAACTGGAGCAGGAAAAGGTTTTCATTCACAAGTATGAAACACCATTTCAGAGATAAACGTTTAGCAGAGGTAAACGATGGGATGACGAAGTGTTATGTTTTAAAAAGGAAATTTATAATTCAGCCTGAAGCTGTCAGATGCCAGTGTTAATATTGATGACATCACTGAGCTTGCTTGCAGCATAGACATGTTCTCCAGACTTAAAATAATTTAATGTGAGGCATTCCTTCTTTTGGAGTTAACCTACTGTGGAAGGTAGAAAAGCCTTTGTGGGGAAAAAAGGAAGCAAAATCTTAATTTTTAATTAGAATTAATTATAAATGAAATTGAGGTTTTCGCCTCCTTCTGATTTTTTTAAAATTGTGCTTTGTCACATTTGTATGTAATTTTTAATGACTTTAAACTGTGAAATATACTGAATGTTCACATATCAAAAATAGACCCATCTATTATAGTTTTATTCTGGGAAATTTGTCTTTGCTGTCAACAAGCCAAAATATTAAGATTAAATAGAAAAATCGCTATGGCTGTTAGAATTCACATAATTATAATAAAAGTTCTCTTTATGGAAGTGTAGCTCCATTGACCAATTTATTTATGCTGCAGTGAAAAAATTGGCATGGCACAACAAACAATTGTGTAGGTCCTCTTACAATTTTAAGTGGAAAGTGACAGTAGCATTAATTAGGACTGTGAGATTTTGTTCAGAAGACAACCATGTTGCTGAACAAAGCCTTATTATCCAGTTATCCAGTCAGATTTATTCAGCCCTTGAAAATTACTGTAAAGTACAGATAACTTAAAAAAAAAAGATCTGAAGCCAACTGGATATTTAAAATAAACTTAAGAAATTAAAGCCCCAGCTGACACAATAATATATTTAACATCAAAAATCAAATGTAGGTGAGTAATATTATGTTAAAAGTACTTTTAAGAGTAGAGGGAACTGAGTCAAGTAGATTCTTCATCTACAGATTTACACTCAACAAGAGCATCCTCCTGTGAGGTCAGTGAGAACCAAGAGATTCTTCCTATGGAACAGGGAATCACCAGCAAGGAGCATTTTTTGGGGGAAAGGAGATTGTTTACTTATTAACAGAATGGTTGAGTTGGATTTGTTTTGGGGTTTTTAATAAAAAAGATACAGAAAAGTGCAGAAAGGTCAAGGATACTGAAATAGATGTTCTGCTGTTGAAGGGAAGAACTTCTGTCAGGGTTTATTTTAC